TTTTTTTTTCTAATACATAATGACCTGTCATCGAATAAACTTGACATCTCTTTTACCATTTTTATAACGTAATTCCTTAAAAAAATTAATCGTATTTCGGTAAGTCAATTGCTACAAAACAAATTGAAAGACTACAACATTGATTAGTATCTTCCATATACAGGTCGGTTTGCTTTTTAGTTAGGTCAAAGATTATGTTGTAGGGTTATTAGGATGTATTTGAGCAACGGTAAGATATCGAAAGAAAGAGAAAGAGAGAAAAACAAACAAATTTCTTCTTGGTTTCCTTTTCGTTACACATGTGTTAGCCTTCATTTTAATAGCGTGTCCTCTCACTTAAAGTTACTCCATTGATATATATTTCTCTTTCTCGTTCTTTTCTCTCAGGTAACAAATAATGTGAGATCACAATAGACGTTCTTTTTCATATAAATGTTATAAACAACGTTTTGTAGCTAAATAAATGTAATACAAGCATACTCGTTGATCAACAGAGTCTTTTTGTTACTGACGGTCACATACAATTGGAAAAAATAAAGACGAAAAAGAGTACCTAAATGCAGAGACAACTCAAGCCTCCAAGGTGAATAGAAAGACACAACTACGAAAATATATACATTATTTTCCTCTCAATTGTTGATGATACATACGTCTGTCTAGGAGAAAAAAAATCACCCTCTTAGAGTAAAAAATAAATGTCTCTCGTCATCTATGACAAGAAATTGTTGTCTACTTTCTCCTTGTTTAGTAGTTAATGAATATATATAGCCGACGGATAAGCGTACAATTATACCATTCGGTTAGAGTAGTAATATCAAGTATTATACAAAAAACCATCTTCTCTGCACAATGAAAGTTATATCTGTAATACTTTTCACTACTATTCTCATTTTAAGATTCAGAAATTCAGGTGTGTATTATGAAATTCATAATGAGTTTTTTCTGTTTTTATTTTTGTTCATTAAATTGTTATTGGTATTCTTCTTTTCTCTATCTCTAGTTCAACAAAGATGTAATGAAATACTACCAGGCAAAGATTATCCAGGTTGGGATATACCATCATATAATCCTCTATTTGGTTTACAAACAGTTGAAACATGCCGACAGAAATGTGAACAAACACAAGATTGTTACACGTGGGCTTATCGTTCTACTGATCAGGCATGTTTTCTAAAGTATCCAATGACTAATACACCTGTTGACAACAATGTAATAACTGCTGGTAGATGTTCTCCTCCATCAGGTAAGTCATTTTAAAAGTACAGAACTATACTGTTGTTTATAAATATATTGAAAAATAACTGAGTCAGGAAGAGAAATGTTTAAGGATTCTATTTTTCTTTTTATGTAGTAAGTTTTCACAAATTTTTACAATAGTTTTCCGACCTTACAAGATGCTTTATAAGAAAACACTAAATTTAGTCTACTATATCGCAGCATACGCCAGAAAAATGTGTACAGATAGCCATTTCGTATCATGAATAAAGTGAGATTCAATTTTCTTTTGTTGTTGGTCATAGCACTCTACTGACATCAGCTATTAGATTTTTTTTTAAGAATGAGATTAATATTGATAACTGTCGTTTTAAGAGATCTCCAATGTAATGGCTGATGTTTTCACGTAATACACATACTCAGCTTTTGTTAGTCTATTTGAAAAATTTTTTTTTTTTCATCTGTGCGATAAATTTTTAACTCTACCATGATTGTTAATGTTGTCTTCTAGCACCAACGAGATGTACCGAACGATTAGATAATAAAAATCAAATATTTGGTGATATTGTACCTTATAATCCAATACGTAATTTACAGCTTGAAGAATGTATTGATAGATGTAATAATTTACCACAATGTTTAAAATGGACATGGAATAAAAATAATCATGACTGTTGGTTAAAAACAATAGAAGCATATGCACTAAACGATGATAATTCATGTATTAGTGGTAGTTGTGGTAAGTAATAAAAATTGAATATTTTTATGTTATTTCTTAGTGCTCATATTTTTCGATGCTTAAATTTTTTTCTATTTGTAGTTAAATTTTTTGAAACTCTCGTTGGTAAAGATTATGTTGGCTATGATATTGTACCATTTAATCCAATACCTAATGTACAAACATTATATGATTGTATTTTTAACAAATGTGATAAAACTCAGGGTTGTTTTGCCTATAGTTATAAACCAAATACAAAAGAATGTTATTTAAAAGGCGTAACAAATGGTATTGCTAGTGATAGTAATGGTGTAATTACTGGTCAAGTATTGACACCCATGATTCCAAGTAAATATAATATTCAATAAAGTTTTACAAGTAGAATAAACATTATTTCTCTCTTTGTTTCTCAAGTACCGAATGGAATACGTTGTAAAACACTGTTGATGGGACAGGATTATTGGGGTGGTGATGTAAAAATAAAGCGTGATGTGACAAATGTTTTTGATTGTATGAAGATATGTGAGCAGTCACTTGATACTGTTAAATGCACCTATCGTCCAGAAACTCGTGAATGCTTTATTAAAGGAACTGATTCTCAACCATTGAGTAACAAAATTGGTATTTATTCAAGTTTCTGTGGTCAGTCGGGTAAGTAAGATAAAAAAAAGTAAATTATTTTGCAAAATTCAAGTACAGATGAAGTTATTCTTTAGGTGTATAAAATTTCAAAACATTCAGTCTTGAATTTCGACAAAACGAACATGGTTAAATAGGAAATGTGGACATCATAAAATGTACTTTGTAGTATATATTATATGTATACTGTTCATTTTTAATCCTCGAGGGAAAGTTTTTGAAATACTGAAATCTGCTTAAGAAAAACTTCTTATCAAGAGAAATGTAGAACAATTTTTTTCGAATATCGTTAAGAATAGTATGTTGCTTTTTTCATCAATAAACACCTAAAAAAATCATTTAAAAATATCTTAGAAAATGTGAGAAATTCAACAGTAATATATATCTTTAAGTCATAATGAAATACTTATTTTAAAATCCGTTTGTATTTCATGAAAAATCATTGTCTTTTGATAGTGGAACGAATTGAGCTTTCTTATTATCTACTTCAATTGTATTTGGTATATTGAATTTTGCCAATCAATTGTATATTCAGATTCCTTTATTTAGTTGTCAAATTATAGAGAAATGTCTTCGCTACCAAAATAAAATGCCTTCAATCTTTGTTCATGTTCGATTAAAGAATTAGAAGAAATTTAGACTAAAATAAAGCGTTGACTTTTGTTTTGGATAACTGATGAACATTTTTTTGCATTTGAATTTCTTTTAAATTTTAATATGACATTGAACAAAGCTTGAAATATATTTCATTTTTTTTTTCGAGAAAAGTGTAGTGAATTTTCTTATGCGAGTATATTGAAAATGTTGATAAATATTATGTTCATATTTTTATATTCTATTATATATACACAAAACATTAGTCCTATATGTATATCACTGTAGTACTTAACTTGACGTTGTTTCATAAAGACACTGGTGTATTAGATATTACATAGAAAAATAAGAACAGAAAATATAGCTGACGATATTGTGGTATTAGAGCTCTAGCAAGAATAGTAAAAAAGAGATAGTAAGTCTAGCTTTTATGACCTGTTTTTAATTTATGAGTCATTTCAGGTTTTAGAACTGGAAAAAGCGATTGTTTTTTTTTGTTTTCAACAAGTTTCTTGATTTCATTTTCAGACCGTTTTTATGAACAGTTTATGAATTACAGTCATTCATTTTTGTCCCTTGTTTATCTTTCCGTTTCTTATTTTGCTGTCAGGAGGAATCGAATATCATTCGATTACGTTATTCGAAAGAGTGAAAGAGAAAAAACAGAATTTTTATCATACTTTGTTAACTTCTTCGTGTACTTTATAAGAGAAAACACAATTGAATTTGCATATTTCTATTTCTTTTTATTTTTTTAATTTATCTCTATAGTTTGTATGTGGACACAATGTCATTCATTATTAGATGGTTCGTCATGTCCATCAAGTAAGTACATATCACACTAATGAATGAAAGATATGTTTAGGACGAAGTAGATCAATGAATATTATTTCTATTGTTTACTTATGTTGGCTTTATTTTGCTTCATATTTTCATTAGATTTAAAAACTTGTACATGGGAATTATGCGATGGTTTCGTCAAACGTGAATATTGTTGTAATGATTGTACATATACAGCACGTCATGAAAATAACTGGGGAAAATGTCATTCAATATTAGAAGGTTCAATATGTCCACCAGGTAATAATGATCATTGATGTGTTTTTTAATTTTACCTGTTTTTCTCTTTTGTTTACGTTCAAAAAATTTGTTTTTCTTTTTTGAAAAGAATTAAAGACTTGTACATGGAAGTATTGTGATTGGGCAAATAAACAAGAATATTGTGCTAACGATTGTTCAGAAAAAATAAGTCGTTGCTATTGGTCAAGATGCCATGATAAATTCGATCTTGCATCAGCTTGTCCAGATGGTAAGACACAGTTAAATAGCATATCATTTGACAGTGTAATTTAATTGTTACTTTTTCTTTTGTTTTAATTATTATTTATAGGAATGGAAACATCTCAACGGACACTTACGAACTGTAACGATTATATTATTTTACCTGGTTATTATCCACCAGTATTCTCAAGAAAAGATTATTGTTGTGCTGATGGTTTAATTGGTTATGAACAACAATCAAATGAACAAAAATGTTATACATATTATGATATGAGTCAACGTGATAAAACATGTCCAACAGGTAAAATGATGCTACTTTTATCTAAAACATTAAATATCTTTATTTATTTATTTTATTTATAGGTATGTTTACATGTAGTGGCGAATATTCGTCTCGATATTGTTGTACAAATTCATGTGATAATGGACTTGGGAAATAATCATGTTTACTTTCAAAAACTACATTTTAATTATTTATTTTTTTATCTATTCTCTCTTTTTATCATGCTTTTGTAGTGTCTTCTCCTTCTTTTCTTTCTCTGTCTCTTCGGTTTATTTTCATATCACAAAGTTCTAGAGACTGAAGTTGGAGTTCTTTAATATAGTTTTTTAGTACTCAAAAAAAGCTTTAAATTTCTAACGATTAGTCAGTATTTATGTGGACGAACTGTAAAGACTCAGCGTTGTTTCGCATTACCCTTGATTGAAAAGGCTGTACCAAAAAAGTTTCGGCTTCTTCCACTATGTGTACTTGATAGCAAAGGCGACAGTATTGTATAAGAGGTTTCGTTGGGTATCATCTATCATTGCATGTCAGTAATTGAAGTTTTTGATTCATTAGAAGTTAAATTTGAGAAAAATGGCAATTTTTACATATTTCGATTGATATCAGCGCAAACTGCACATATATAGTATTTATTCTTAGTCTTGATGTACAAAATGTTCTCACCGGTATCATTCTCTGATTGTCACTTGTAGTTTGCACGGTCATCAGTGTAAAAAAAATTGAACTTATTTGTGAGATGACTTTTTAGAGACCATCCTCTAGATATCAATGACTGGCTTTACTAACGTATTGTGTTATCGGTCACTGAAACATAAGTGAGAAGATAAGTGCTTACCATGTGTTGCAAGTCAAAATAAATTTCTTGTATACTATTCGATGTGCCGCAATTTGTTCTACAAAATCATATATATAGCATTATGGTTCAGAGTAGACCACCACATCAATCAGGATCCTTTATGAATCGAAAAGAAATAAATTATAAAGAAAAAAAAAGGGAAATATGAATAATTCTAATTTTTTTTTTCGTTCTTTTGTTCAAATTGTGTATACGTTGGAATTTGAGCATCTCGCTGTCGGAACATCTTAAGCAGTGCATATTTTTAATTTCAAGGAAAATCACACATCTTATAACACGTGATACATCTGTAAAATTCTGATGAGATAATATTTTTCATGTCATGTCTGATGTGAAGAAGACAGATAATGTATCTAAGTCGTTTGTTAGAAAATTTGAAAAGTAAGAGAAGATCCGTATCGAGTAAACAGATCAGTTGAAGAAAAGATACATATATTTTTGAATGCACACAATTAACAAATACGTCAATTTATAATAAATATTCTTTAGAATTACATATAGTGTAGTGGTTCAGTGGAATTACTTTTTCTTGTAATGATCAACGGTGGAAATATAAATTGAAATTGTACGAGTTAATAGATTGTGATAATTATAACTGATTTTTCTCGATGTTAATCATAAAATAATTGAAGTTTTGTCGACAAAATGAAGCAAGTTATAGTAAGCAAATGATTGGAAGTTCTTGAAGCAAATATTCTGATGTTGGATGAATGAATGCAGTCGGGTTATCAACCATCTCTTTAATCAGGAAAACAACGATTGTCTGTGTCTTTTCGACTAGGTATGAAAGGTTGAAATCAGGGATCATCAAATATAAGAAATATTGACATAAAAAGATCTATGTCTCATAGTACAACATTTTCGAGCTGTTGAACAACCCTCGACTTCATCTTTTTGTTATAAGTAGAACTGGATGATATTGAAAGAACGTAAAAAAATTTGGGTTCATTATTTGTTCTATCGACGATGTGAATGTTTCGTTTGATTGAAAAAAAATTGTTTTCTTTGTCTCTGCTTTTCTTCTATCTTTTAAGCATTTAGGATCTGAGGTTTTAATTGAAGAAGTTTGATTTCATACTCTAATATTGAATTCTTATCAGTCAAAAGTTTTTTATATAGAAAAGATAAATAGAAATAATAGGTGCTTCACATATTCTTAATAAAAAATTCAATCTATTATGGAGTGTTAGTAAAAATAAATCTAAGTAAATTCCTTAGTACTCGTACTATCAAAGTCTTTACATTTTGTTGCAGTCACTTCATACGTAATACAGAAATCCATACAATTGACATTAACACGATTATAGTTCTGTGGTTGATGATGGAAAATAATGAAAAGAATAAATATAATGCAAGCCATTTGTTGCCATTTTTTTTCTACATTCACATTGATGTTTGCTTTGACACAAAGAATTCATGTCGCTTTTCGTTTTATTCTCATCTCATACGTCTGAATCATGACGATATAGATGGAAAATTGGTTACTTTTGAATCCCTAAGTCAAAATTGAAAATATTTTATTAACAATCTTGAAACTTAGGTGACAAGAATGAAACTTGATGTTGAATAAGATGACAAAAAATGTTTTAAATTATATAAAATTTACTTCGAGATTTAAGATGATCAATCGTTAATGACTTCGATATTAAATGAACAATAAATATTCGATTATCTTAAGGAATTTTAAGACAAATTTTAGAGAACGAATTGGTTTTTCTTTCATGAATGCAATAATTAATTTTTGAGCTTTTATTCATAATATATATATATATACAAAATAATCATTCAATCTTATACCAAATATCGTGTGTGGGGGATCCAAAGCTGTCGGTTGAATCTATTTATTTTAGTGACTTACAGTTAATAGCAATTATCTTCCACTTAACTGCATGATTAATTAATCACTTGATCGTTGATCAGTAACTTATTCAGTTAGCTGAAACATTCATCATATTAACCGGAGGTTTTTTACAATGTCAAACATTGCTAATGAAAACATAAATTGTCATGGCTAAATAACCGATTCAATTGCGATGACCATCATGAATTCCTTGATATTTATTTATATAAGTTTCTTCGAATTTTTCACTTATTTTAAAATACAGTTTATAGTATAACTATTCTTGAATTATATTTATGTATTTTCAGATGAATAAACTCCTTTTTTTGCTTCTATTCAATGTAATCATCACCACTGAAGAGCGTGTTCTTATTGAAAAAAAATTAAAAGAGGAAACGCTCCGTGAGAGAATGAAATATTCCACTTGGAAGGATTTTTTTCATTCCATTTGATTGAAAATATGAAAAATATTTTTTTTCATCAAGAATAGTATAACAGAAATATGGTCGGTGTATTTAGAAGCAGTACGTGCTATTAAGTCAAGAGTAAAAACATAAATGAGATGTATTTGTAGATATTCGTAATGTCGAAATTCTCAATATTTTGACCAATAACATGTTTCGTTTAAATTAACTATATATGAGTACTGTGGACATATTTATTTATCAGTCAATATTCTTTACATTAGAACAAACTCATATAGCTTATTTTTATTCACAATTCCTTTTGATGTATTCTACTTGTTCTTGCAACAAGCTAGTCGTAACAAAGCGATGCGCATTCATTCCTTTCTCCATCGTTCTGTATAAATCTAACCAACTAATAGTGACTTGCAAAAAAAAATGCCAACGAATCGCTCATGAAATGCTTCACTATGTATTGAAAGTGAATGAATGACACTCCAAAGAAGTACTTTATGCGCGAGAGAAACAAATATATCCCACTTCGAATATATTATTACAACTGTGTACGTTATTTCTTGCCATCTTGCAGGGCGTCACATTGATTGAAATTTTTCTCCATCTCGACATACATTAATCCATGACTATCGTACTTGCCTTGACAACAACACAGACGAATTTGCTTTTTTTGTTTTGTTTCACCATGGCAATTGACTTGTTAAAACATATATGCATTAGAGAAAGCAAACTTGAGGCATTGTATGTAACAGAAATATTTCACACGTTGAATAATACCATTTTTGATTTAATTTAATCCATGAATCGATATGCTTACGAAAGTTACTGACTTAAATTTTACTGCTGTTCAAGAATTAAATACAAAATATGTCTCAAAATATAAGAATTAAGACAATATTGCATCAATTCGCGTAGAGCGATTAGAAAATTGTTGAAATTAATATTCAACGCTGTTTCATGCAGAAATAAAAACCGATGCAGTGTTGTTTTAAAATATTACCAAACCTAATTTGTAATCAGAACTGTAATTTGAGATTCAAACGAAATGATCATATTACATGGTGAAGTTTGGAAGAAAACGAGAAGCATGATTTGGTCAGATTAGTTAATTATATTCTTCATCTCAATGGTTTGAAATAACTTAGACTGTGCAGAGCTCGATAACGCTATTTAACTCGAAAGTTTCACTCTATAATCGAAGCTACGAACTTCTAATATCAAATTGTAAAATCTGTGTATAAGTGGATATAATTTTAGAATAAAGATCCTTTTGTAAATAACCATCAAGTATGGAATAAATTTTGAATTTCACTCTACTATTCAACTATTCTCTACATTACTCTTCTCGTTCTTTCTTCTAATCTCGTTTTTTTATGAGTGGTGCGTGTCTGCATAGAACAATGTCAACAAAGAATATTCGCTCTTAAATCAATACTTTTTCTTCTATTCTGAGGAATTCAATGCAATCTAACCAAATAAAATAAAGAAATAGAACGTTTCTCTCACTGGTTTCACATAAAAAAGTGTGAAGTAAGCAAATTGAAAGTGAGAGAAAAACGTCTGAAAGATTAGACATACGACAATTTTACCGTCGCATTATCATCATAAGTGAATACAACGTCGTCAAAACTAACAAAGAAATTCTGTGTATTCTATCATAATGCTTCGATTTACTAACGTCGATCATGAACCAACAAGGCTTCCACCTGTCTATGGTTATCGCACTCATCCATTACTGCCACTTCGGCAAGCTCTTGATCCTATTCTCTCTCAAATAGAGCAATTAGATGAATTTATTAAAATTGCAAAGACTGAATGTCATTTTCCTTCAGAACATGGTCTTAGTCATGAAGAATCAGCATCCATTTACCTTTATACTATGGATTGGGGTGAAAAAAGTCTCTATCGAGTACTCAACGCAGTACTTCGTGAGAAAGATCGATCAGTATTAGTACCATGGCATGGTTATCTTAAATTATTTGACACTGCATTGAAAAAACTACCAAGTCTTCAAATTAACTTATGGCGTGGTATCAATAGTGACATTAGTAAGAACTACAAAGAAAATGATGTATTAACTTGGTGGTGTTTTAGTTCATGTTCATCCGCAGTAAAAGTCGTAAAACAATTTCTTGGATCAGTATCTACAGTATTCATGATTGAAGCAAAGAATGGAAAAGCTATATCAGCATATAGTAACCTTCCAGAAGAAAATGAAGTTATTCTTCCATTGGGCACTCGGCTTTGTGTTGTATGTGACGCATTAGACCATGCGTCATTAAACATAGTACATTTACGCGAATTGACCGATGAAAATGATCAAGAATTGACGTCGTCGTTTGCAAATATGGGCGTCATTACACCAGCGAAGCCTTCAGTAGGTAAGTAGATTTTTGCAACAGGTCAAGCAGAAGTTAATTGCTGCTCACTAGGTTATAAAGAAACATTGCCAAGCAATAAAACTTCAACATTTAAAACCTGGACTGATGGAAACGGAAACAAATACGATACTACTATTCGAATATCATATGCCGGTAAGTTTCGATGCTCGGTGGTGATGAAAGTCTAAGATCTTTCACATCAAATGCGAATAACAGCTAAGGTGAATGGAAGAATGAGAAGAAACATGGGCCAGGCACGTACTACTATACGAGTGGTAGCACGTATACAGGTGCTTGGGTCGATGATCAGAGAACAGGTCAAGGCGTTTTTACATGGCCAGATGGCGATCGATACGAGAAAGAGTATTCACAAATGTCTCCTCCTAATCTCTTGTGACAGTCAACGTAGAGGAAAGGATAGATGATGCAATCTATGAACAATTCATGGGACAATTCAAGGATGACAAATTGCATGGAAAAGGCACGTACTACTATGCCGATGGGAATATGTATACA